GTATCACTGAAGTTCCTCGGGAAGAATTTTTACGGGAAATTATCAAACGAACAGAGACGTAACAATATCAACAGCATATTGATGAAAAAGGTTCCTTGCCTTCAAGATAAATGATAAACTAATTTTCCCTAAACATTAATCTCTATACATAGAAATATTTTACAATAACTTTTTTGTTCACCATGAATTCTCTAGTATGAGGATTTCTTTGCCAAACTATGAAATGATAAGCATCCTCTCCTTTCCAAAATAGTAATGGATATTGTAAATAATCTTATGCCCTATTAGTTTCAGCTACTCTTTTTTAATCTGTTATTCCTTTGCTCATGTACAATATCTCGCTTTCCATACTCTCCTTTCTATTGGACAAAATTTTGTGATGTTGGGTCAGTGTGTCTCCTTGACAACCAATAAAACGTAATGGGGAATTTCAGCGAGTTATTATGCTTTTTATGCGCAAGCAATACCAAGCGTGGAGTGCGCATATACCCGATTCAATTTTATTACTCATCACGATCTATACCAACCTTCCCTCAAATCTAATCTAACTATTATATGCTCAAAGTTATCGGTGTGACATATGAACTGACAGAATTTTGACCCTTCCATGTTAGTTCTAGGAGTCACTATGGCAAGTTTGGTGGAGATTGGACAAATAGTGTGGTTAGTGGACAAACATACAATAGATTTCGTTTATATATATAGAAGATGTAGCGCTAATGTTTGTAACGTTTGATTAATTCAAGGGTATCAAATGTGTTGAAGAACATGTTAAGATCGGAAATAGTTCAGAACACCTTAATCTTAACTGGCCTACTATTAGTTTCCAGTAAGAAGGGTATATGATAGCATTCCATATTATTACTTATATAACGGAAACCCCTGTCATCATTGGCCAACAGAAACAACTTACTATCAAGATAACATTGAGTTCCATTCTCATAGAACATGCATATAAGAAAAAGTTAAGAAAGAAGAATTTTGGAAATATTTCCATTCCAATGTGTTATACCAGTTGAGGAATTTTTCGTGTGGACAGGTAGATATGTTCGTGGGTTACTTCATATAGTATGAAACTTATTTCCTCATACTGTATAACAAGTACCACACCATTGCTGAGAACTGCTGATAATACTATGTTTTTTTTATACAATATGATTGAATATATTTAATGTTATATCCACATAAGGTAAACATATATAATTCAAACCTTAAAGCTTGAACGAGTAGAATCATGTGTGCTTAGCAATAAAATTCGCGCAGTTACTTTATATATGTTTGCTTTACTTTGTTATCAACGTCGCTTTGCACGCTTTGATCAAACAAAATGGTAGTTTTTGTAACCAAAGTAAAAGATGAAAATAAGAAATAAAACTGTTTACATATATTGCTCATTATCCAAAAAATATGTATGCTTGACACTCTTCTCTATAATTAGAAAGGACAACTTTTGGCTTTATTGTGAACATTATCACCTCTAGAGCAGGTCTAAAACATTTCATTCACCAGCTTTTGTTACTTTAATTCTAGAGCGAATTGAGGTTTTACACAAAAAAATTTAAAAAATTCAGCATCCCAATCTTTGTCCAGCAATTTAAAAATGGTGCAAGTATTATTTTTCAGTGGTGTGAATATAAAACTAGTGTTTAAACTTTTGCAAAGTTTGATTGTGAAAAAAATTTAAAATCTTATTTAAAATGGCTTTAAAAATTACTCGTATTTCACCATTATTCGTCGCTAAGGGAAGCAACTACAAAAAGTATGCACACCAAGTACAGTAGCGAAAGTTGGAGTGAGCGTTTGCTACGCAAGCACCTAGCGACCACGGCCAGCGGACCTTTACTCTATCTCTCGCAAGTTTTACAAAATATAATGATACTAGTGCTACAGGTATGAAGCAATGAATTCAATCTGTATCTATTTAGCTGAAGCTTTTCACGACTTCTTTTTAACTGTAAATAAATATTTATTCTTGAAAGCGGTAAATGAGAAATAACATCAATTAATAAAAAAAATACCCTCTTCCCCTTCATCTAGTCATTTTCGTTCCCAGAACTCGTTTTGCATAGCTCAGCTTAAAACGAGAGTATCATTCGGTGTCACTCCTGCTTCTGGTTCTTTCTCACACGTTGTCATCTTTAATAGTAACACAGGTTTCAACACATGATCATCCTACTTGATAATATGTGTAATATTAGCAGTATCTTGGTCTGCCTATTACTTTCCTGTATGGGTTACTTCCCTTTAAAGGTGTAGTTAAACGCTAATGATTACAGTGTGTTGATGTAAACTTACTGTTGGAGCTAAAAGAGAATTTTGACTTTTTTTCTTTTTTCGCTCAAGCGTTTTTGGATGAATAAAAATTTCTTCCACCGTTTTATTGTTAACACCATATTGTCAAACTAGATCTCTGACATGGAGATTATAGTAACGCTTTCGATAGCCGAAGAGTTTATTATTATTTGCTCTAACTGTTCGAAAAAAAATATTCCTTAAAACTTGCTTATCTCACTCCAGATAATCATATAATGATGTACTTCAATAAAGATCTTGAGTACTTTTTATTTATAAGGTTCATAGAATTACTTTTAGTCGTAGTAATTGAAGTTGAAATAAAAATATTTTTATTCTTAATTTCTAGTGTGTCTTTATAAAGGCGTCACCTATCAGGTAGGGAAGGAAATTAACATCACTGATCCATGCAGACATTGCACATGCCGTCAGGGGGCTACAGCTGAAGACATTGCTATAATAGATTGTATCTCAGTGGAATGTCCCCACTTATTTTTACCAACTACTTTAGAGAAAGGGTGTTATCATGTTTACGAAGAAGGAACGTGTTGTCCTGTACGTACGGAATGTGGTAAGAGTAAATGTATATATTTACTGGATATATATATCAGACAAACACCGATTTATTAGTTTCAGGTTTTTGATGTGTTAAACAAAAATCCGTGCTATTTGTTATTACGTCCCTACGATATATGTAAAACACATTTTCATCGTTTTTTTTTTCGAGTTTACTTGGATATATTAATTAGACCAAATCCCATTTGTTAGTTTTATTGTTTGTTTGTTTGTTTTGAATTTCGCGCAAAGCTACACGAGGGCTATCTGCGCTAGCCGTCCCTAATTTGGCAGTGTAAGACTAGAGGGAAGGCAGCTAGTCATTCCCTCCCACCGCCAACTCTTGGGCTACTCTTTTACTAACATTATAACGCTCCCACGGCTGAAAGGGCGAGCATGTTTGGTGTGACGGGGATTCGAACCCGCGACCCGCAGATTGCGAGTCGAGCTCCCTAACCACCTGGCCATGCCGGGCCATATTAGTTTTAAGAATACATTGAAGTTTTCCTAAAGTTTTTTCTTTTGTTCTTTGATGTTTAGTTGATTCCTTGAATACGCTAGATAAAATATGATTTATCTGTTGATTAAGCTTGAAGATCTATTTATATAAAGTCTGGTTTGTTAGTTTTCATTTTTTCATGACTCTTTGAACCAAGATCCAAATTATTTATTATCAGGCTTAATGGATGTGTTAGGCCAAAAATGGTTTGTTATTTTTGAAGTGTAATTTTTTATTACTTTAAAATCCTATTTATTTATCGATTAAGGTTTAATTAATGTTTTGATTCAAATACGGTCTCTTAGTTTGGAGTTTCATAGATGTACTAGATCAAATCTGACTTGCTACTTTTGATGTTTAATGGATGCATTTGACCAAATCAGATTGTTAATTTTGAAGCTTAATACTCATGTTAGATTATATTCCGTTTGCCTATTTTGAGCCACGCAGTGGCACAGCGGTACGTCTGCGGACTTACAACGCAAGAATCCGGGTTTCGATACCCGTGGTGGATAGAGCACAGACAGCCAATCGTGTAGTTTTGTGCTTAATTACAAACAAACAAACCTATTTTGTACTCACTACAGAGATGTTAGAGTAAATTATGTTTGTTTGTTTTGTGGCTTCAATAGAAAGTGTTAAAGTTAGTGTTAAACCTTTAGAAAATTCACTTTTCTTTAAATATCATTGAATTATTTTCAGTTATTATTTTCCATTATTTTTATTGATTCTTATCACGAAATTAACCAATTAACTTCACGATAAACTCTAGAAATCACCAATGTATGATATCAATTTGTTATTGGTTTTAAAATATAATTCTAAGGTGATGCAAATGTTTAATAGATGTTTTAAAGAATGACAATAATAAATATTTTTATGAGTATTGTTTTATGAATATTTTTTATATTTAAGTCTTGATGATTGTATCCAAAAATATATTATGAAATCTTTAGTGATATTAATGAAAAATCTTATTTTGGGGGTTTAATAGATCATTCTTCGTGCTATTTAACGCAGTTGTTTTGTTTCTTTTTTCAGTCGACGAGAGTAATCAACAAACACCACGTAAGTCACTTTTAATAAATAAACCTAATTTCACAAGAGGTAAATATTTTCAATTTTTCTTAGTTTCTTCGCGGGAAGAAAGATGGCGGGTCATTCTTCTGAATTTATCTTGTCTTTAGACAAACGCAGCGGCCAGTTTAATCATGACTACTAGTCCATTAATGGAATATTTTATTTTTAAATCGGAACATTCTACAAAATTATGTCATTCCGCCACAAGCAGATTTTTATTTTAAATATAAAAAAGAGGAAACATTGAAAAAATAGATAATTCGAATGATTTATCATACTGCAAAATGCTCTATTAGTAATGAAACACTGTTGACGAATCTTTATTGATTCGACAACATTATTTTTTAACTTACATAAAATAAATGACATTTCACGTGTCATAAATAATTGTTTATTTCGTCCGCTAGGGCATCGAAAAATAAGGCATGCTGTTGTCTGCTAGGTTTAAGTTGTTTAATCAATGACTCTATTTAAAACTCCCAAATTTAAAGGTTGAAAGAAAACTTTAATTATTGTATTTTTTTTTGTTAGAAAGCTGATAAACAGGTAAGAAGCAAAGAAATTTTAAGACTATTTGTAAATCAGGACAAATGTTTCAATTTACTTATTTCTACTTTAACCCTGCAAACGATATCGTTTTATTTTTTAACTGAAACTTTATTTTATTGTTCAGTACAGGATATTATCACAATTAGACACGATTAACGTAATAACATTTCAAAATATTGATGGTGCGAGGTTTTGAAAAGTTGTTGATATTAGTGTTTCTTACATATTTGAAAAGCATTTTATTTTATATAATTACGAATAACAAAATCTAATTTATTTTAATAAAACTAATATCGTAACGGAATAATCATGACATTTTGGAAAGTGTGAATGAAACATGACAAAAAACGTAAGACAATTGTAGACTTTCTTTTACCCCATTTTATTTTCCTTCAACTGATATAGGCGCCTCCTGTGAGTACAACGGAAAACGATATGAATTAGGACAAACAATTTCGCCTGATGAGGACGAGTGTTTGACTTGTCTATGCACTGAAGAGTGGAATGGAATTACCAACTCAAGCTGTAAACGTATAGAATGCTTACTGGAAGAAGACTTAACAAGACTCAGAAGAGGATGCATCCCGATATACCACGAGAGCACCTGCTGTCCGATAGAATATCACTGTCGTGAGTTTCGGAATCCTGTTATTCGATAGAGAGTTACTGATGTATAACCTTGGCTTTTATTATCTGTTAAAATATCACTGAATAACTTGAATATTCTTTTGTTCAACTGAAAATCACTTCTGTGCCTACGTAACTTATTTAAAGTTCGTGGTATGATGCCTGAAGCAGCTAGTGATGATTGAAATTGGAAATAATACAACAAAAAAATCAAAAAAAGAAAATATCGCACTAGAATGATATTTAAATATATTTTAATAACAATATGATCCATATGGTAACGTGTTATTACCAAGATTATTTTTTTCTCTGTTTAAAAGATCTGTTGTTCCCCATGTTTATGAAGATATTCTGTGCTAATACTAATAATGTTTTACTTTTTTTTTACAGCTCCCAGTTCATCAGAGAGAAACGTTTCTGACGAAAACGTAATGGACAAAATAGATAGTAAGAATTTGAAATTGTATTCGACTAGGTTTTTTTCTGAAGTGAAAACTGAGAGGATATAAAATTCGAAACCGCGACATTGCTTATCTGGCAGACGATACTTTGAGTATCGTAACTGTTGTAGACTTAGCTCTTTTCTGTTTTATAAATTTATTTGTATTCAATTGATCAAGGCGCCACCTATGGGTACAAAGGGAAAATTGATAAACTGTAACAGAAATATGTAATTTTATATTACACGTAAATGTGGTTTAAGATTAAAATGAAAGGCCATAATTAAAACATGTTTGAGCAAGAATATACTTGCTATACTATAATCACTGCATTATTATTATTACACAGTTCCTGACTTCTGCAACCTACCAAACAAAACGGGCCCTTGCTTGGCGTACTTTCTTAACTACTTTTACGATCACTCTGAAAGGCAGTGCAAAGAATTTGTGTATGGTGGTTGTCAAGGTAACGAAAATAACTTCAGATCACTTGCTGCATGTGAAACGACGTGTATGCCTGAAAACCGCACTGCGAATCAAGAAGATATAGGTAAGTTAGCAAACATAAACATGGTTTATACATAGTAAGTTGTTAAAACAAGGATTACACTAAGACAGTGAAACAGGAAATTATGGGCTCGTTAGCAAAACATGGTTTAAACTTTTAACACCGAATAAATGGAACAGGAAGTACTAAGTAAGTTAGTAATACCTGGTTTAAAACAAAAGCAATGGAAAGGGGAGATGCAGGTAAATTGGTAAACAATGGTTTAAACCCACATGAATGGAACAGGAAGTTCTAAGTATGTCAGAAACACTTGGTTGAAAACAACAACAAAAAGAAAATAGGAAGTTTTAGAGAAGTTAGTGGGAATGGGTTACTGTAATCTTTTCTTTACTGAAGTTCACCAATAAACAACTAATGCAAAAAGTAAAAAAAAATTCAATTTCAAGCAATTGTAATATTTTGATATATATACACAAAGAGAGAGAGATGATTGAATACGTTATATAAACTATTTTGAATGTGCAAATCAACAAATCACGTGACAGCATAGCCCATATTAAGTTTTGGTAGAGCGGAATGTATCAGAACCGCATTTTGTCATTGTGTGGCGTTTCGTAAGTAGTATGATACCACTCACAATTGATTGCTTTGGGGAAGAGCAAGTAACGTCCCTTTCTGACGCAAGCTATTATTACACTTAGATAATAGATATATGTTCAGGTCGAGAATTTAGTATTTCCATGATGGGGATATTCCTTGTACTTGATGGCATTAAAAAAGCAAGTAATATGGGTCAACTTGTTGGCCACTAATAGCCATCGTAAGAAAAGTACGACATCTTGTAACAAGTGAGAATTCACAAATACAAAAATCGGTGGAAAAGCTACCAATTTGTCCCAGAATGCAACCTAATCAAGAAGGATATCAGTCTGAAAAAAGTGACACAAGTCACGTGTACACAAGATGCTTCCACGACATGTCCGTTCAACCAGTCCGTACCTATTGTCCTCATAAGCTAGATGAATTATGGAGAGCTGTAGTGAACGGTAGTATGCTTTTGACATGACAAGCCTTATAATGGAGACTGCTACAATAGAAACTACGCAGTAGGGCTATTATCTAGATACACCGTCGTCAGGTATATTATGACCTGGACGTGGCGACATGGACTATAACAGTGAGTGAGGCTCCAACTTAGTTTTAATATAACGTACTCAACCTTTATATTATTGTTTTCGGGTAAGATTTTCCGCGTTATAATGCAAATTATTATAAGAACAACAAACGCGAATCATCTTATAGTTTTTTTAACCAAATATGAATGGCTACTTACTGTTGCCAATAAAATTAGCTTTACCTTAAATTTTAATTTTATGGTCAACTAAGTGAAATAAATGATCATTATTTACTGACTTTTTTACATGCATATTTTTATAATAAAAAACATTATTAAGGTTATAAGAATAATATGAACATTTCTAATGCTTAAAAAAGTAATAAAAGTTCTTTCTTTTTTATGTTTTCGTTACTAATTATTTTATTTTGGAGACTTATCCATTGATAATTCCATGTAACATGAATCAAATATAAATTAAGGCCTACCATTGGTAGTCAATAGAGATATATCAAACTTAAAACTGTCTAGCAGGCATTATTTCTGTAACTGAATGAGGTTATAGGTGGCCCAATGTCCCTTGTGTGGATGGTCAAGCTCAGTGGCACACCTAGTTAACCTTTATTCATATTTATTTACTGTTACATCCCAAAATTTATAAATAGCCATGTTTCCGTAGACAACCTGTGTTACTTCAACCAGAAGTATTATAGCAAAGGAGAACTTTTGGAGATTAACCAACATCCCAAAATTGATTAATAACCATGTTTCCGTAGACAACCTGTGTTACTTCAACCGGAAGTATTATAGTAAAGGAGAACTTTTGGAGATTAACCATCCAACTAACTGTGTCAAGTGCACGTGCGACACCCCTCCAGATTTTACATGCATCCACCAGACTTGTCCTCCACCCCCTCATAACGACTATGAGAACTGTAAACCTATACATCATGAGGGAACTTGCTGCCCTGAGTACGTCTGTCGAATGGCAGATGAAAACACACACGGTAAGTGTTAATAATCCTCAGTAAATGCGACCTAATATTTTAGAAACGTTATAAAAAATTAATCGAAACTACTTTATGTGCAAGAACAGTACATATAATATATCATCATTCGTATCTTAAGTTTTGCTATTTTATTAACTAAAACTGCATAAAAAACAGCAACCGAAGATATGTAGAATTTACTACTCACTCAAAAATATTTTATTTTAGTTTTAAAGTTTTGATTTGAGATTACGGAAAGGAAGAAGAAACAAAGGATAAAACACCACCAGGATTAAACTAATTTTAGCAAATGAGCTTCGATTTCTTGCAAGACGTTTCACATGAAACTGAACATCAAATACAAAATTTTGAGAACCACATTTGAATCATACAATATCGTTGGAGTGAATCATATGACTAAGTGTCATGTACAATACAACTGATTCCTTATATTTTTTGAGACGTTTTTATTGTTTTGCTAGAGTTAATTCATAACACTCGTTAATAACACTTTGTGTAAAGTCTAAACAATATAATAATTTTGGTATGTACGCTATTTCCTGTGTTCATATGAATTAGTCTTCACTGTATCAATAAAAAATTCAGTAACTCAGATAATATGCTATTGAAAATATATCATAGTGAAATAGTTTAAACATACATAGAAATAGCTTAAGAAACAATATGAAAACCAGGGGTCGCTAGCTATACGAATATATGTTAAAAATCATTGTAAGTTGTATTACCTTGTAAAAACTGTGTTTGTTAGTATATCAACTCTGATTTGCATTTGATTATTTGAACGAACCATTTCATAAACAATTTTGTATGGCATCTGTCTATTAAGTAGAGGAGGATTAACGTTAATCATAAGCACAGTTCTGTTTTAAATGGCCCTCCAGTGGCTGAGCGACAAGTCTCTGGACTTACGACGCTAAAAATCGGTTTTCGGTTTCCATGATGGACACAGCGAGAATAGCCAATTTTGTAGCTTTGCATTTAACAAAGAAACAATAAATTGGCCCGATTATAGGACGATCTCGATTAGAAGGCGACCCCTATTTTCAGAAACCATGGAAAAGAAAAGAAATTGAGAGCGCATTCGTAGACGGATGCTATCTGGACATTCAGGAATGTGACAGGCTAGAGTAGTGGGAAGGGGCCTGTGGTCGGCCGCGATTATAAGGTGACTATGAATTTTACAGCCTAATTATTAATCCAAAAACATCGCCTTATAATCGGGCCAATACGGTAACTTAAATATACATTGAAGTGACACAACTTTCGGTCTTATGACTAATTTTACGCATCTTCTTATGTTTTGTTTAAGTGAGGCAAGTTTCGGTTTTATAAAAATTATTTGTATTCGTATACTTTTAGAGAATATTAAAGAAGAAAGAAAGAGTGATGACGATGAAGTAGTGATGATTGGACCACCCCCTGAAGAAGATCCTTGTACTGTGAGTACCGTGTTTCTTTATTCATTGACCTAGTTGTTTACATTGTATGTGTCTGAGAAATTGCTGTTTAGGTTAAAAATACTAAATACCAGATCTTCCAGACAATATGGGTACAGAATGTAATCTTTCAATTGAACCTTAAAGATGACAAAGCATTAGAAACCAATAGGTGATAAAATTCATGTAAACTATTGATCTTTGAAGGTTAGATATTTTAGGCAGTGGCTTGTGGGAGACAAAATATAGATCCAAAAATAAAATGCTATTTTCACATACCTCTGATTTTGCATCCGAAAGCAATGTGGAAAGAAACGTATGCAATTCACTTGATTCTTATCACATATGTTAGGCCTATTGAACAATCATCCAATAATAAGTATTACATTTTGCATATACATGTTTTATGTCGACGCGTCGAATTATTATATCAACACCTTTAAGTATTTAATGTACGATTCAGCATCATTATAAGTACACTTTTATATAATAAGTCTGCATGTCGATACACGTGTATATGTACTTTATAAACTTGTAGATAAGATAAAGCTGCGCGATTTAATATTTTAAATTGTTGATATGATAAATCAACGTGCCAATAGATGAACGCATCATGTACAATATATAACATTACTGTGTACAATTTACTCAATTGCAGGTTAAATTATAGAGTTATTTTTCCTAAGAGGTTATATTCTAAAAATCAAACAAACACTAGTGCCTATATGACACATGTTGTAAATGTTCATGCTGCCCTTGATTGACAAAAAGATTGATTTACACTTACATATAAATTTCTCGAACTTTCGAAACGCTTGCCCAACATTATTTTTCGTTGTATGAATGTACACACACACACACACACACACACACACATATATATATATATATATATACGCACACGTATATATATATACGATTCTAAGAAAACTCGTATAAATCTTTCTTGGTCGCGAACTTTTATGATCTGCTAAAAACAAACGTAGATTCTATGATGTTGTTATAATTTTGACCTGGTAATTTCTTTGTTAGCTAGGGGGCAGGTGACGTTAAGATCAAATAATTTTGTGGAAGTAGGCCTAGAATATGTAAAGTGACGCCATAAACACCTAATGGCTTTGCGAAATATTTAGAAAAATTATTATATATAAATCTTGGCGAGCCAGTCAGTTGGCCAAATAAGAATGCAGTGAAACAGTAAAGCATCAGAAATATAGAAAGTTATTTTCTAACCGGCAGAGTGAATTAGACAATATGTTTATGTTTTTGTATCTGTGTTAGCTGTTGTGCATATTGAGTTAATTTGTAGAAGTAAGTAAATTTTCGTTTTAGTATAGGGACAGATAATGTGGGCCTACATTAAATGTAAGTGTACAAGCCTGTAGAGAAATGTTGAGGAGGAAATAATATTAATTCGCTATTGTTGCATAGACTGGAACTTGAATTATTTTCACCTGATAAGTTCAAAAATCCGCCAACTAAAGAACAACGTTAAAATAATATGGTTAACACGTACGAGCATTTTCAAAATGTCTAGGAATAGAAATGACGCAGTCAAAAGTTGTCAAATAGAAGCAGTTGTGGGCATGTCAGAACAAAATGTTTGATAATTGTCTAAACATAATGCAGGTTATGATGTGCGTTTGCAGTGTGTGGCGTAAGTACCAAACAGTGAAACAAGTGTAAGCAAAATGCTTGGGTAATAGATACAGAGTGTGATATAAGTCAAAATGTAGATAAAGCTGTGTTTACACACAATGCGTGATATAAGTCAAAATGTAAGTAATGTTGTGTATACACATAATACGTGATATAAGTCAAAATGTAAGTAATGTTGTGTATACACATAATACGTGATATAAGTCAAAATGTAAGTAATGTTGTGTATACACATAATACGTGATATAAGTCAAAATGTAAGTAATGTTGTGTATACACATAATACGTGATATAAGTCAAAATGTAAGTAATGTTGTGTATACACATAATACGTGATATAAGTCAAAATGTAAGTAAAGTTGTGTATACACATAATGCATGATATAAGTCAAAATGTAAGTAATGTTGTGTATACACATAATGCGTGATATATATCAAAATGTAAGTAATGTTGTGTGTACACATAATGCATGATATATGTCAAAATGTAAGTAATGTTGTGTATACACATAATGTATGATATAAGTCAAAGTGTAAGTAACGTAGTTTACACACATAATGCGTGATATTGGTTAAAAACGCAAGTAGTATCTGATATCGGTGTAAAAATGAGTGGCATTTATCTAAAAATGCAATTTGTAATTCTAAAACAGCTTGTCTGCTGATTAATTGAGAGGAATAAATTAGTAGCATCAGTGCTACGTATTCTGAGTTATATGAAGTCTAGTCTTATGTTTTCGATTTGCCTTTTTCCACAGTTACTGACGAGTAGTGAAATTCCCGGAAACTGGTATAACTAAATGCAAGTGGTGAATTGAATGATAGATTGGACTCATTTTTATTTTTAGTATTTCAGACAACTTACTTAATAAATAACTGAGAGACATAAATAAGTAGCTTCAATGCTATATACTCTTCAAATCATTTATAAGTATAGATTAACTGCAGTAAGTAAATGGCAACGAGAAACATGTATGGTATAAGCAAAAAATGATAATAATTATAGATGCAAAGAAGGTGATATATAGGTGTTATTGAATACGTGAGGAATAAAAAATCCAAACTTTTTACAAATTGAACACTTATTAAGCAACCTTAACAAATAAAAGAGAGTTTGTTTTAACATTCTATTACTGTTTTATCCTCACAGGGTGAGAAATGTGCAGAAGATGAGCAATGTGTAATGTTCCAGGTTCAATGTGTGAGAGCACCATGTCCACCGCTTCCAACATGTGAGCTGAAAATTCTTTCAAAATATCCATTATAATTATACTCGGTTTTTATTTGTCTCCTGAAAATGCGCGCGCACATTACTATCTAAATCTGCATTCGTGCGCACTTCATTTTAACGGACATAAACATACTTTAGCACAAATATTGTATTTAAAAAAACACTGTTTTAACAAAGATACTAATTTGATAGCAAATGCTTTGCGAGTCTCTGCTAGATTTCATAAAATTTTATGAATAGGTTGAGTATGTAACATATGTCAACCTATTAAAGATTTAGACTGATGCTCAGTAATCTTTGTGTACAAGTAATGCTTGTGTAAGATCGTTGCGACATCATTGAGAGAAGTTCCAAATTCGCTATGTCTTAATTTGTTAATTTAAAATGCTTGAATTATCACTGTTCTTTTTAAAATAATTGTTATACACAATTATTTCTGCATAGAATAAGCTAACTAATTGGCATTAATATGAACTCAATGGTTTTGAAAGCTGTCGAGTTTAAAAAAGAAACAGTTGAGATGAGTAATTTATCAATCAAGCTGAAAACTTGTCTCCGAATCTGTGATGTCATACTATAAACATCGCCACCTGTTGACAGAGGTTTTACTTAAATTCTAATTATTTTGTCTAAAGTGAATAGAGCATATTTAGTGATATGTAATTGTTTTGTGTAACTCTACTGTGAAGTTGTCTCCGAATCTGTGATGTCAGACTATAAACATCGCCACCTGTTGACAGAGGTTTTACTTAAATTCTAATTATTTTGTCTAAAGTGAATAGAGCATATTTAGTGATATGTAATTCTCCGAATCTGTGATGTCATACTATAAACATCGCCACCTGTTGACAGAGGTTTTACTTAAATTTTAATTATTTTGTCTAAAGTGAAAAGAGCATATTTAGTGATATGTAATTGTTTTGTGTGACTTTACTGTGGAGGCCTCATCCATGTTACTCTTTTAAAACTTTATAAAAGTAGGTTTTTTTTCTTGTAAGCATCACGTTTGGTGGATGTAACAGGTCATAGTTGTGTGTCAGAGATACGAGTATTGAACATCTTTGTTCCCTATACAGGTATCAAAATTAACCCAGACTGTCCAACACCTAGCTGTGCACCAGGCTGTGTGGTAAGCGAGTTGGATGAAGAACACTGTCCCACTTGCGTTTGTAGAGGTCCTTTCTCACCAGGTACGTGATCGTAGGGTAGGGGTTGTCCTATTTGGTTATCTGAATAATGGAAATCCTCTTATGAATGAAGCAGGTAATGCATAGGAAAAATATTACACTTTGGTTCGATTAAGCAGTCTTGAGTCTCATCCACTCTCTCAAGTTATGTTAAGCCACCGCTCACTCTGATCGGTAGGTAATAAAGAAGCACTAGTCCATTTATTTGAAATCAAATAAATTATGTTAATGCCAATACTGACTTTTTGATCCAGTGAAGCGATCCCAGTGGTCCATGTTACTATGTGAATCAATTAAGTTCAATCCAGAGGGAGGTGTCCAGCTTAATCCATTGGTGATTAGTTAGGTAGAACCATCCCCTTGATCCAAACTTTGCTGCTAATTTACGTTTAATTCATTGATGCACAAGACTATTCCCCTGATCCAGACCATTAAAACATGATTCCTGGATTATGAGATTTGTTGAATAAATTGCCAAACATTTGTGTAATATACTTTGTCGGAAGTTTCAGAAATTTAGACAGAAAAATTAAATTTTCAGTCATTTATATATGAGATTAATTTATTCTGCTTGTGTTATTTTCTGTGAAGTTTTAAACTATGGTTTGTAATAGCCACTATTACATATTTCTTCACATTGTCTTGTTCAGCGAGAATAGAAGCGGAACGCTGCCCAGTACCATTTTGTGAAGGTTACGACTGTATGTTGGGAAATGGGAAAGATGGGTGTAAATTTTGCACCTGTGAAGTTGCATGTAAAACACCCGTCTGTCAGGAAGGATGTGAGCTCGATAATGGAACGCGTGAAGGCCAGTGTCCGTCCTGTGTTTGTAAAGTTGTTGAAGTGAACGTGGACAAAATCGGTATATTATTTTATATGATTTATCATAATTTTAGATTACATTTATTAAACACACAATGCTCTCTTATTTTTTGGACATTGTATATTAATATTTAGATCTTTCAGAAAATGTTAATTTCTAAGAGTTATAAAAGTTGAATTAAAATACAAGATATCAAAATGAGAAATTGGTTGGCCTGTTTCATTTCCAAAGCTTGTTTTATTTTAGATGGAGAGAAAGATAACAACCAAGAACAAACCACTCACAAAGACGAAGAGTCAAAGCCTGAAAATATTTCCAGTAACCCAGAAAGAACCCGATGAACCTAACAGCAACACAGATGATGCTGAAAAAGAGCCTAATGAGCCCTCCAACAATACAGACGACGACAAAGAACTCGATGAACCTAACAGCAACACAGATGCTGCTGAAAAAGAGCCTAATGAGCCCTCCAACAATACAGACGACGACAAAGAACTCGATGAACCTAATAGTAGCTTAGACGATGAAGAGAACACCAATGAACTCAACAGTAACACAAACGATGAAGTTTCTAATGCAACCAACAGTAGTATAGATGCTAAAGACGATCCCAATGAATCCGACAGTAACACAGGCGATGAAGAGACCGGTGAGCTTCATAGTAATATAGGTAATGACAGTTACATGAACCTAGAACAAATTTGGAAATTAGAAGTAAAATAACTTATTATAAGTCTGAATATTGAAAAGATGAGTTTAGTAAAGCATCATTACCCCGAATTTCAGAATTAAGAATGTGATAATGTATCTTCATGACGTGAGTGAGCTTTTTTATTCCTAAAATTTTACAATAAAACATGATGTCTTATTTTGTCTATTTCAGGCAACGCAATTAAAATTAATACCACTTCTGTCCGATGTCCTGAGCCTTCTTGTTTAGGATTCAAGTGTAAAATAATAGCAAGAGACAACGGCTGTAAGACGTGTATCTGTGAGTCCGCCTGCCCACCTACCGAATGTAACAACCCTGGATGTAAGGTGGAGGCTAATCCCCCTCCAGGGAAATGTCCTTCCGAAATTAGGTAACCAGTTGTTTTTTTGTTTTCGTTTACCTGTCTCAATGTCTTCTATTGTACACACACAGCCTCTGTTTGAATAGAGAGAAAGTAGACACAAGTTTGTTGTTAAGATACAACATATTTCTCATCTTGTAAGACATGAGGACACAAGCAATATAAATAAATTACACGTGCTGGTCTAGCAAAACACAGTTACAAACTGATTTGATAAGTCTAATTTTATCGAACAGGTTATTTTAAACATTCACTCAAACTTTTAATTGTTTCATTCAGTACTGAATGTAGGATATTTATTTATTTATACCACATTTATAGTGGTTATATTTTCAAAATTTTTCGTAGGGGGATCAAAATTTCAACGGTTTGTTGTTGAGCAAAGCTACGCAACGAGGCAGGTAATGCATAGGTTTGTTTGGTTTGAATTTTGCGCAAAGCTACACGAGGGTTATCTGGGCTAGCCGTCCTTAATTTAGCAGTGAAAGACTAGAGGAAAAGCAATTAGTCATCACCGCCAACTCTTGGGCTATTCTTTTACCAACGAATTGACCGTCACATTATAACGCCCCCATGAGCATGTTTGGTGAGACGGGGATTCGAACCCGCAACTCTCAGATTGCGAGTCAAGCGCCCTAACCACCTGGCCATACCGGGCCGGTAATGCATAGGAAAATTTTACTCTTTGGTTCGATTAAGCAGTCTTGAGTCTCAATCCACTTTCATGTTATTTTAAGACCAACGAACCAATGGTTTAATTTCAGGATAGGCTTTTTGTGTTGATTGGGAAAGCGTATTGAACATCTGTTGGGTCAGTTTTCAAAACGCATCCTGTCTGAACTTTCCCGAATAAAACTTATGAACCGTAGTGCACCTCTATTGAACTTCGTTTCCCTTAGCAGAAGTAGCTTTTAAAATATAGTCATTTCAATTATGGGTTAATTATTTATACTTACCGTAAGCAATACTTGTAAAAAGAGTCGCTCCTAATATTCATCTTAACTTTATTTAACATACAGTTGAACTACAATTCTCGGTACTTTGGAAACTTTGAAAAGTAACGAGGATAACTTTTTACCTGCTCTTTAAATGTAACTTATGATACTTAATTAAATGGCTTAAAATTCATCACGAGTCATGCACTCGGTTTTAATTCGTATAAAAAGCATTTGTGACTGCGAACATAATATGACTCGCAGTAGCATGTTGAGAATAGTAGGAAAAAAAACAACTCATTATCTTAGCAGCTTATAAACCACGTCAGATATTGAACTCTTTTCTATCTTAAGGTAATAATGAGGAATAACCGCCACATGTCAACTTGATCTGTATCTTTGAGTCATATCACTTTACCCTACGATGAAAGATAATTACGAAAGTGGAAGGTTAAAGTATTTATTAATTGGTCAACATATGATAATGCTGTAACGTTGTTTTTTTCGTTGGGCGAGTTCTTTTACATTATTTTGTGAAAACAATTAATAGCTTAGCCCACCTAAGGACAACAAAATTAGTTTATTTCTTCCTTAACGTTACTACCAGTTGCCTTCACATGTAGGCCCGAGTTTAAAAATTACATTCAAATGGAAATAATTCACTAATGATAATATGTAAACATAGACTTGTATCATTTCATTGATAACTACTTCACTAAGACTAAACTGATTGACGACACTCCACTAACTGAAATAAGTGACTCAATACTTCACTGATTTACTGCTAGTTTTTTAACTGACTGGTCCACTCGTATTGATATCTCACTTTTAGATATTCGTCGATGTTACTAGATTTTCATGATATTATTTAAAATAATGTAGGCCTATTTTTATATACATTTTTATCTTAACGTTATGCACCCTCTAGCTAATATCGAAAATATAGCTTACAACAGTGGAACTAAAGTTTTGTCGTAGAATAATCAAAATATTGTTGTATGCTTTTAGTGGTTGTTTTAAGTATTCCTAGCAGCTATGAAAATGAACGAGTAAATGCCTATGAAAGTTTTATGTCTTAGTGACTTTCGGAATCAAAGTTGACTTTATTTTTTATATAGATAAATTAAATTTCGCTAATGTTAATACAACAGGCTACCTGCTACAATTAAACCCAATTTCTGTTTTACAGGAGACAAGATAATAAATGTTAACTTCCAGAAAATATATGTTTGTTTTTAATCCATTTAAGATCACACTGAAGCTGGGGAAAAAAATGAAGAAGAAGATAATGACGATGAAAGCCCTGCATCCTTAAATTGCCCATCACCAAACTGTGTAGGACACAACTGCACGATTATTACAGGTGATAACGGCTGTTCGACATGCACTTGCGAAAGTAATTGCCCGATACCAACTTGCCCACTTGGTTGTGAGGTTGAATCAGCACCTGAAAGTGACCGATGTCCCGGCTGCCGATGTCAGGTCAAACCAAATCCAGGTCAGTAACTTTTGTTCGTAAAATTCAACTAATTTTTATGACTCAGGTTCTATGATCTGTACATAGCTTTAACTTTTAGCGTTTGCCACTGTTCTACGCTACTCAGACATTGCAAAGATTAAGACAATTCATAATCGAACAAGTATAATAAAGACAAGTAGGGATCGATATATAAGTAACATGACTAGCTATACTAATATAGAAAGTTTTAATGCTACAAGAAGTATTGAAACCAGAAAGTCAAAACTACAAAAACTGAGGGCCCGGCATGGCCAGGTGGTTAGTGCGCTCGACTCGCAATCTGAAAGTCGCGGGTTCGAATCCCCGTCACACCAAACATGTTCTTCCTTTCAGAGAAATTGTTATATGAAATATTGTGACCCGTGGTTTCAGACTACTTAAACCCAGCCACTCATTCATTCGTTCACATTACCACAGGATCTTCAGACCTTGAACTCTACAAAAAAGAAAGTTTACTCATAGCTAAAGACCGCCCGACTCTTAACGACTCACAAAGCTCTTTAGATCAAATTATTCTAAATTTTCACACTTAAAACTCAACTATTTTGCAATATATCTATAATTCTTTGTTTTATCTTTCCGTTCACCACTTCTCTTAATAACTAAATAAACTAGTGATCATGATATTATAGTTTTAGTTAATAATCATCTTTGTAACATCTTTCGCTTAAGGTGGAATAAGTGTATTCCGAAAAGTTCAAAACTTGTAAATAAATGTGTTTTTATCAACTGTCTTCATTTTCAATATTTTATCCTGTTACATGTGCAGCCCTGAGCATGGTAATTAACTGACAGGTATTTTAATTAATCTCAGAACGCTAATAGATTTTTATTGTTCTTGCTTGTCATAAAATATGCTCTAGTTGAGTTGGACAAATAAATATATAAATGTAATATTTTTCTTAACGTATGGACTGAATTTTGTTAAAATGTTTTTATAAAATAATAGCAAATTTATTAGACGTTTGTATTCCTATTTGTTTTTTCAGACACACCAGAGCAGTGAGAGAAGTTACACTGAAGGAGTCTTCTCCTACTCTTTTGGTGTGCAGGTCACACCCACAGTTACCAGATTACATGTCACATGACTACCATCTATCGGTTCTAATATTACGAATTTATATATATATATATAAACTTTTTTTAACTCTAAATGTTTCGTTGTCTGTTTACTTGTCCTAACTATTATAGCGTGATATATATATTTTTCACATTCTCTGTGTAAAGTTTGTCTTTCTTATGTAATTGTTTTTGTTTTATCGCTTCATGCAGTTGACATTAGAAGGCTCCTAAATGAGTTGGTTAGGGTTAGTAATCGAAAAGTTTCGTTACCGTGTCTATGATAAAGTCTGAGTTTAAGATGTTTTAATTAGGTTAGTGAGGAAATTTCGGGTACCACTGATATAAAATAAGACTGTTCTAACAGCCATAGTACATTTGAATATATATATATATATATATATATATATATAT